TCCTGGTTTGCAGCTGAACAATCTTCAGCTGCCAATGAGCCCTGTCAGCAGCCATGTCTGATGAAACCTTCACATTTTCCATCCTTGAATCAGACAACTCATCCTCCAGGGTAGTGAGGCGTTCCTGGAGTTCTTGGATTTGATCTTGATATGTCTCTTCCATCTGCATTTTTAATGCATGATATTTCAAATGCCAACTTAGTAAATTAGACAAATGCTAGCTTTCTTATGTTTATATTACAAAGCTGCTTGGGCTTCTGACATGCATTGTAAGTATATTTTCTCTTGTGGCATGTGTAGTGGTGATGCAACTAGAGAGCCACAAGATTTTTATTCATCAACAAACTTTTACTTAATTTTGGAAATTTGTTCTTTGAAATGCAAGTTCTATGAATGAAATTGGAATTGTCACCTGTACGTAAACTGCAAGAAAACTGAGCATGCTGTTTCTGGGATTTGGGTCACAGTTTGGCATGAACAACCATTTTTTTCTTCAGGTTGCTCATCAACATTGGATGGTTTATTGAGGCTTCACATCACACATATGTTAATCTATGAAAGGCATATATGAATACCTTATGCTCAAAGGTTTGTTCCTTGGCAGCCTTTCCTTCATGCCTAAGGTCTGAAATGGTCTTCTGTGCTCCATCCAGCATATCCCTGAAGGTATCTCTTTCTCTTCCTGCCTTTGAGAACTGTTGCCTCAATGTTGCAATCTCATGGTTGAGCTGCAAAATCCTGGAGTCATGCCTCATGCGCATTTGGCTCACTTCTGACTTGTGGGACTTCTCCATGTCTGCTATGCTGTTGATTAAAAACAAAAACAAAGATGAATATATATGCATGATTGGTGATCCCTTTATTTAGTTCAAGTACTCTTGTTTCAGAGAACGGATCTCTTGTTCCAGTCTGGTTGTGTCACTGGAAATGCTCCTGGACTGGAAGCTGGACAACCTTTCAAAGTCCTCCAGCTTTTGCTTATTCACATCATTCTGTTGATACAAGATAAATTAATGGATCAGGAGTCAATGCATTTAGGGATAATGAAGGGCAGACCTCTTGCCTAAGCCTGTCCAACTGACTCTGCAACATCTCTTCTTCTCTCTTGAGTTGGTCCACTTGGGCAGCCTTTTCCAGC